CTCTAATAACTATATGTCCTAATGAGTTAGTATCAGCTCATTTAAAGAGTTGGAACCGGTCCAAGGAAAACAGGCAGGACTGCTGCCCTTTTCACCAAAAAAAAAAAAAAAAAAAAGGAAAAAGAAAGAAAAATCTTTCATTAACTCATGTTGATGGAAGCACATTTAGCCACAGCAATTTGCGAGGCAGTTGAATTGCTGTTTGTATTGAACAGCAAACTGGAGAATAATAAAGCAAAACAGGAACATGCCAGTGGTGAGCAAGGGAACACGGCAGCCCTTCCACTTTTTCCGTGCTGATCATTCGTTCTAAAGCCGGTAAGACCAAACAACAAACAAGATTGCTCGTTATAACGAGATGCACTAATCATACTCTGTTGTCCCGGCCTCTATCACTGCAGCTGTCCAGAGGCCTCACCTATATTCTCTGCTCTTGTGGTTGCAGCGAAGTAGTTGCTTCTCAGCAAAGCCTGGTGGCCATATTTTACCAGTACAGCTTAATAACCCTGTTCATCATCCCAAATGCATGTATTCGAACAAGGGACCTAACAAGTGAACAAATGCATAGAGCAGTGATGTAGAGGAGGAGACAATTTGGGGGATCCATGTTAAGCAGCAAAGGTAGAGAGGTTAGTAGTTAGGGAGGATATGGATATGAAGACATCGGAGCCCTGATTGTTGACATCAGAGAACTCCTGAAGGAAATCAGAGGAATACAAACATGTGCATTTTTAAAAATAATAGTATTAAGGAAGGTACAATTAAGTAAAGGAGGTTACAAATGAGAGCAGGACGTGATATATATGGCAGGAAGATTGCCCTAGGAGTGCAAGGAGAGCAAAGCTCTAGCTGGGGCTTTAGACTAACTAAGGAATCTCAAGCAAATCATTTGCCTTCTTTGAGCCTCATGTCTTGATTTATTGTAGAATGAAGTGCTCACTGTAAAATAGAACATTCTTGTCAATTCTGAGCTCTCCAAGTTTCCAAATAAAGATAAGAAAGCTCAATACAGTTGGACTACCAGCGACTTTTAAAACTGACAGCAATCCAACTAAACCTAATTTAAGTACTAGCAAGAAGGAAAGCAAGGGAGGAAAGGAAGAGAAAGATGGAGAGAAAAAAGAAAGGAAGGAAACTAGGGAGAGAAGAAGAGATGGAGGGAGGGAAAGAAGAGAGTTAGAAATTCAAGAGTTATGTGGGCTTCAGGCAAAGGTCAGTCTTGTCCTCAGCCCTCCTCTGTCTCTTGGCTCTGCTTTCTTCTTCACCAGCTTTGCTGTTGTACATGTGCCTTTGGCATAGTAGAAAATACAGCCTGGAAAGAACCAGGCTAATATAAGCTTGTGGCTTCAGAAGGGGAATCTACCAATTTTTGCCTGTGTGTACAGGGTTGAGTCCCCGTGTTGTTAGCAGGACAGTCTGGACCTACTCTGGGCTTGAGTTGAGGCCTCGCTGGAGTGGGCAGCTCCTGCTTGCAGGGTTAGGTAGTAAGCATTGGCACCTCGTGGTTCGTACAGGTGCCTATGTGTATCTAGGCTGAGGGCTGGGGGAAGGGAAATGATGCCCATCAACTCTTTTCTTCTTAGAGAAGTTGCCCAATGATCCCTGACCCTCCAGTTCACTCTCTGACATTAATAAACAGATCTCTTTCCCGTATATCCAGGAATTTTTCCGACTGGTGCTTCTGGGCTGTAGCGCCACAAGGCCCTTCGTTGTGCTATCTCTTTAAGGGTAGAGACTCTGTTTCCTCTCACCTTCCTGGTTCTCCCAGAGCCCAGGGTGATTATTTTTAAAGTTCCAGGTGTTAAGTGCCACTGATTGTAAGAACTTCTGAAATTGTGCGCCTCTAGTTTTCGAAGTCAAATGTCACAGGGATTTCTTCTCCCCTGTGCGGGCTCCCTATGCCTGGGGTGCCTGCTGTGAGGGTCTGTTTCTTTCCCCTCTTTGTGACCAAGTTGTCCCTCCCTCCTGAGGACAGTCTGAGGGTCTATTTAGCTCCCAACAGCATCTCTGTGCTTCTTATCCTCTTCCACGTGGCCTCTTCTCTACATTTAGCTGTGAAACGTCTGGTCTACCAGTCTTTGAATCATCTTCTGGGTTATTTACACTGATGTGGGCCTTATCTAGCGGTAGCCGTGGGATGAGGTGAGCTTAGAGTTCTCCGACTCTACCATCCTTCCCAAAAGTCTAGAAGTTCTATATTTGAAATGCCAGTTATAGTTTTTTTGTTTTTTTGTTTTTTTTTTTTTTTTTGTTCAGTTGTCGAAAATTAAGCATTCCAATTGGTACTAGCCTTTTTGGAAAAACAGCATAACCTCTATATATTTAGAGAAATTGAGAACATAAGTTTTAAATTGCAGTAATTCTATGAAATTCTGAGGATAACTGAACATCTTTACCTTTATACATCTTTACATTTATAATCTTATTAAATCTGTGAGTTGAGTTTGATTGTACAAGAGATGTAGTACCCATTATTTATCTGCTATGTTTTAGCAAAGGTGTTTGGTGTTTGATGTACCAAGTGGAGTTCGGAGGAACAAGATCAGTTTTCTTTGATGGTTAGTGGACCCTACTATCCATCACTCCCAAGTCCAGTGTACAATTAAATGATGTAATTCAGTACAGGGGGCCTGGCTCAGAGAACCTTCTAATATCCAGAAGTAGTGAATCAAAATGGCCATGTTCACATAGGGACACAGTAGTGATCTTACATCTTGTGACTATTCAAGAGAGTTGTGCCAAAGACACAATTTACTGAAACTGTTGTTTTTAGCCTGTCTGATGCCTATTCCTTCTTCTTTTAACAGTTCCCTGGTCTTTCATTTAGAAACTATCCTTTCTATTCTTCATCTAATCCTTTTGGGGTTATCAGTGGAAGTGCTCCATCCTTTCCGCTAGCCAGTCAGCAGGCAAGAGATCTAAGCTAGGCTCATGAGCATTTCTCTTTCTGGAATTTCACCCAGAGTGGAGTGACACAAAGACTAGAGGCAACCAGGATAAAATGCCTATTAGTTCATGATACTTACATCCCTACTGTCCCAGATCTCTACGAGTCTCTATAGAGTCTGGCACCTCTTTTCCCATGCATCTGTTAGTTACTCTTATGTCCCTCTAATAAATTCTGAATGCTTCATGTACAGTTAACAAATGGTTGCTGTAAGTTAGCAAGTGCTGGGTACCAAAGCATCCCCAATTCCATGTATACAGGTCCTGATTCTGTGAGTTGGGATTGGCCCTGGGCTCACTGAGCAGTTTGGTATCCCTTGAGCTCCCCTTCTGAGTCATCCATAATCATCCTCAAGCCAGTTAACAGCTGTGCTTCTGGGCATTTGCTAGCTGCCAGTTAAGGCAAACTGCAGGGTGTCATAGGTGGGAAGAGTCCCGGGCCCTTGTCATCCAACAGGTTGTCCTTGCCTTGTTCTTTGGTGGTGAGAGAGTTCCAAGTGGGAAAGTGAAATGCACAAGGCCTCTTGAACTCTCAGTGCAGTTGGGCACAGATTCTGCTGTAGTCTGTTTAGCCAGTCAAGTCAGGAGGCTGGGCCAGAGGTAACATGTAGAAAGTAGATGAGTGTGACCTCCTCAAGGCGGCAGCTGCAGTGTCACAGTGCATATGAGTAAGGATTCAGGGGGAGGAATTTTTGAAGGCACTGAAACAATCTGCCACCCCCAAGTTGGTGTCTGTGTAGCTAAAGAACCTGCTATGCCACCAAAGACCCCTTCTAAAATGCAGCCTAATGCCTTGACTTTCTCCTCTCACTTTATAGGCCTTACCCTCATTAGGGGAGGTTTGGGAGCCAAAGTCCACCCCTCTATGGGATATGGATCAAAAATCACCTGTCCTCCTGAATCCCAGTACATCGTGTCTTGAGGGGGTGGTATGTGACTCTTCTGTGGCTGAATTAGCCATGCAGGCTCCCCATCAGTCCTACCATCTGCCAGCTCTCCTAAGTTCCAGCGTATTGCCTGTTCACTTATGACCTATAGCCGCGTGCCTTGGCTACTCACCATAGTATTGCTTCCTGCTGTATGTAGTAGAGCACTTGCTAAAAACATTTGCATTTGCCTTCCTGAGATATATATTGAATTTCTATAAGTTATATTTTCCTTTTATGCAGCACAGCCTCTTGGTGAGCTCCATCAATCACAGAGCAAGGCAAATGCTCATATTAATGTGCACTGCTGTAGGTGTTTCTTGCCTGTTTTCATCCAACTTCTGACTCAGCCCAGCCCTCTTTAGGTTTGTGAGATCTAATAAGATCATAGCACAGGGTGTATAGCTGCAGGCAGAAAATTCTGCTTTTGCCAAATATATTTTCCTTTATAGCAAGTTTGTAAATTAATGTAGGGCATCGAGATACCATGGCTATATGCCTGCATTTAGACAGAACTCTCTTCAGTTGACTACCTTTGCTTCTAGCCGCTAATTTCTCTGAGATGCTAAGCTTTATTGCTTCCCACCTTCTCAGTGTGAAATGATAATTAATATGCCTTTACAGTGAAGGTGATGTTCTACTTCCATTAATAACACCCATTATTCCAGGATGTTTTAATTTGGTTATAAAAATGGACTCTGGAGGTGGAGTTTGGCTTGGGAGCTTATTTTAAGAGCAAATGGTTTGTTTCTAATTTTTCATTAAAGAGAAAAGGAAGTTTTTTTTTTTAAAGAACATTTTGTATTACTTCAGAGTTATATAAACAGTGGGCCAAATTCCTAAAATATTGATATGATTTTGGATTTGTAAATTAGTTGGCCTTCTTCTCTGGTACCTCCACCAGAGTCCAGACCTCCCAGGGCTTCTCAGCTAGCTCAGGATTGGCAGAGTCCAGATCTCTGTCCTATCTCCTCCGTTAGGATCAGAGGGCATTTCTTTGACATTCCTTTTCACACTTAAACATTAAATTCACTTTCCAGGCAACAGTTTTTACACGCTCCTGACTAAATTGAGTTTGATACTAAGAGGCAATGTTATCTTGATGGGCATTTTGCTTTCTTCTTATAGATCTCCTGGAGGAGACCCACAGAAAAGATGAAGAAATGGAATCTCTGCAGGTAAATTCTCCAACAGAATTTTATCCTTGGGATAAAAACATTTGTTTTTACCCTGTTAGCCTTTATTGTTACCACATTCAGACCACTGACAAATGGAGTGAAAAACATGTCAGAATGTTAAAGCCCAAGTTAGAATTTGCTTCCTTTTAAAAGTGTGTGAGGATATTTATAATCTCCTAAAGTAGGAGGCCAAGTCAGCCCCTGTGCTACTCTTGAAAGGAAGCTTTATTCCTTGGTATAGCTTAATAGGAACCGCAGCGTTGAGAAATGAAAGCAACATCTTTGCAAAGTCATTTCCCCAAAAAACAGGGCTGATGAATGAGGATGAATTCATGGAATCTGCATTTCAAGTGAAAGTCAAGAGAATTCTGGCTCCATGAATGTCATCTACCGATGACCAACCAAGAATATTAACACATACATGGAGCTTAAGACTTTACCTTGTATGCCTCTTAATTCACTGTGGATCTATACACAGTTCTTGGACTGGAAAATTGTGTTTGAAAGATTACTCTAGAATTTTAAATGACAGTTCCATAGTACGAGCAAGTGATGTTAACTTGGCATCTGACAGTGGTAGTTCTCTCTTCCTTTTACATTGGGCTTGCAGATGGGTAGCTCAGGTGTCTATCTTTATTAAGGGAAACATAATCAGTTATACTCACATGACAGAACCAGTTCACTTAACGTCACGCTGGGGATTAAGAACAGTAAATACTTTGGACATTTAGAGTTCTTCCTGGGCGTGGAAGCTACAAGGCAGGATTGGAGAGTGATATAATGAGCTGGCTTGAATGCTTTAGAGGTAGAGGTTTTTGCTTCTGGCAAATGAAGGACAGGTCAAGCGAAGCCCAAAGAATGAGAGAAATGTTCTATAATTGGGGATTCTTCTATTTAATGGTGTATTTGTTAAAAGAAAATTATATTATTGATCTAAAAATGAAGAAGAAGATAGTTCTATATCCCTAATAAAAGTGGCATGTATTGGCCACAGTTCTGTACAGATTGGATTTATTTAATAGCTTGAGCTATAGTCAGGTTAAAAAGAAACAGCCCTGGTTGGTCCTCTCTGGGGCTAGGAAAAATTTCAAGTGTATAGTCACTGTGTCTATGTCTGAGAAATTAATATCAGAATCAGGAAAAGCAAAGCTTCCATGTATACCAAATGTATATATTGAAAAGGTAATAAAGTCTTTCAGAAGCACTTTGATTATGCATTATATTTGCCAGAATAACACATGTAAACAAATTTATTGAGTAGATAGTACATATATGGTCTTTTGAAATGACAGCACCAACCTTTTTGAGTTTACTTCTCTCACAATACAAATGTTGGAACCAGTAATCCTGTTAAATTTAATAGCCTCTCTTGCTTCTCAAATATTTATTAAGAACTGGCAGCATTTCCTACCAAAATGTCCAGCGAGTGCAATAGAATGCACCAGCCAACTAACTGTGGGCACTGATAGATGTAGAGTATCCGGTATGATGTCCAACAGCAGGAAAGTTCAATGCTGGCACTTTGTAGTGACAATTAGTGCCTAATAGTCTATTAAGAACAAAGAAACTGACACCTCTGAGAGTACACAAGAGTGCAGAGACACAGCACAGAAAACCTCTCATTTTAACACTAGAGGAAAATTCATTGAAAAGACCTATATTCCTGAATTTCTGTATTCATATTATAAATATCACAGGTGATAGTTTTGAGAAGACTATCAAAGTATTTAACTTGAGGGGCTCCTGGGTGGCTCAATCTTTAGGCGTTTGCCTTCAGCTCAGAGCATGATCTCGGGGTCCTGGCATCAAGCCCCGCGTCAGGCTCCCTGCTCAGTGGGGGGACTGCTTCTCCCTCTCCCTCTGCCTGCTGCTCCCCCTGCTTGTGCTCTCTCTCTTTCCCTCTGTCAAATAAATAAAATCTTTAAAAAAAAAACAAAAAACGGTATTTAGGTTGAAATCCTACAATCACACAGTAGAACTTCAAGGAGTGAAAGACAAAAAACAGTTTTAAAAATATGATAGCAAAAGATTGGAAATTGATGACTTTGAATTTTAATAATGGCTCTGCTTCTGGGCAACTTTGAGTACCTCAATTAACTTTGCTGTGCCTATTTTCTCATCTTAATATAAAATCATAAAACTGTCTTCCAGAAGTGTTTAGTGTGGATTAGATTATCCTTAGAGGGAGAGCTAAATATTTAATTCCAATTTACAATGTTAACAAATCCCCATGTATCCAAATTGGAGTCAGTTTTATTTACTCATTATCATCATATAATTATGTATAACAGACATTCTGTATTTAATGTCATCCTCCTTGAGGATAGGGGGTGTTTATCTCTATACCCTTTCCAGCTTTCTTCAAGTAAAAGATGTTTCACATACTCATTGAACAAATACTTGTTGAGCACCATTTCTGGGCAAGGCACTAACCGTACTGAGTGCTAGGGATACAAAGGCAAGCATCCTGCCCTGGGAAGGTATCTGTTATATAATAATAAATATTATTAGAGGGGATTAGATGTTAGAGGGGATGTGCAAGTCACTGTGGGAACATATAATAAGAACAGCTGCCTTTATTTGGTGGAGATATAAGATAAGTTGGTGGAAGCATAGGAGGTTGAAGGTGATGGGTAGGGTCAGATGGGGTAGAGTGGCAAACCGAGTAGATTTCCCAAAGGAAGCCGATATTGAAATGATAACTAGGAATTAACCCTGGCAAGTTTGGAGTAAAAATAAGTTGTAGGCAGGGTGAAGGAGACAGGAAGACCCTTACTCTTACTATGTGGGAAACCAGTTAAGAGTTTGAAGCAAGAGTTTGAAGAATTAAGAATTTGAAGCAAGAGAACAATATGATCAAATCTTCATTTTTTAAAAAAAGGTTTTATTTATTTATTGGAGAGAGAGCAGTGGGGAGGGGTAGAGGGAGAGGGAGTGGCAGACTCCCCACTGAGCAGGGAGCCTGACACAGAAGCTTAACTGACTGAGCCACTCAGCTGCCTCAAATCTTCATTTTTTTTTTTTTTTAATGGGTAACTAACTGGCTATAAAGTCCAAAATAACTGGGGGCAGGTAAGATTAAACCAGAGAGACCATTTAAGCAGATGTTTGTGGGAGTTTTGACAAGAGATGATAGTGACCTGGATTGGATGGTAGAGAGAGCATGAAGAGGAGTGTATAGTTTCTTAATGTATTTTAAGATCTAAAATTCCATGGGACCTTGAGATTGGTTGTTAGGAAGTAAAATGGAAGGGTCTAAGAATGACTCCTGGATATCTTGATTGGGCCACTTCATGGATGGTTGTGCTAGTCAGTGAGAGAAAAGGAAGCTGATTAGTTCAACTTTTAATATTTTCAGTTTGGGTACCTTGACACATCCAGGTGGCAGTGTCAGGAGGGGGTTCCTACATGAGTCTAGAGCTCAGAAGGTGTGTGAATTGGACATGCAGATTTTGTTGTCAGCAGATTGGTCTCCATATCTTATAGATGATACTAAAAGTCATAAGAGTGCGATGCCTGGCTGGCTCGGCAGATGGAGAGAGAGAGTGCAACTCTTGATCTTGAGGTCGTGAGTTTGAGCCCCATGTTGGGTGTATAGCTTACCTTGGGGGAAAAAAAAAGTCATAGGAGCAGTGAGGATGCCCCAGGGGAAGTATGTAAAATAAAGAGAAGAAAACAGGCCAGAACCATAGGGAACACTCTCATTTAAGTTTTAAGCTAAGGATGAAAATCTTGCAAAGCAGTCTAAGACATAGAGAAAATAACTTCAGGAGGGCATACTATCATGAAGTGTAGCAAAGCGTATTTCAAGGGAAAAATAATAAAACTAAGTAAATAAATCCTTGAATCCCCCTTGCGAAGGGGCTTAAGTTTTAAAATTAAAATTTACCATACAGTAAGTGGTAATTTCCTATCATACCCATGCAGTCACTCTTGTCTTTCATGTTCCCAAATATCTGCTATTTAGCACAGTGCCTCCCCATAGTTAGGGACTCAGTAAATTTTCGTTGATCAAATAAATGAATACTACCTACTAGACTCTGATTCAGCACCTGTTTCTGGTCTTCAGAAGGTCTGCCATTAAAAAACAAAAACCATCCTGTCCTACAGGTCATTTTCTGTTTAAAAACATTTGGAGGAGAGGGCTCCTAGGCTCTAGCATTCCTGTGTACACACACACACACCCGCTTTCACTCTCCCTCCTTTTCTCTATCCTGCTCTATTCCCCCTCCTTCTTTGAATGTAGTATTGAACCAAAATGTAGTCAGTAAGTGAGTAATTTGGCACGAGTTGTAGTAATCAGTGGCAAGGGAAGAGGATATAATGGTGAGGGAGGCAGGCAGCAGAGAGGAGAGTATTTTCAATCTTAAGAGGAATCACAAACAGTGGAGACAAACAAATTTGACAGTGATTTCTATAATACAGTTGGTAATTACCAAAATTATTCACTGGAGGTTAATATTTTCTCTCTCTCTCTGTGTGTGTGTGTGTGTGTGTGTGTGTGTGTGTGTGTAAGACATTCATTTGCAGTTACATTGTACACTGTTCTTAAAAACAGAGTATTGTCTTTGACTCTAAATGTGTGGTACCACACCAGAGTCCTGTTTGCATAAGGGTTTGAGGTACATTGAAACAAACAAATCCCTTCTCTATTAAGCCGCTCTGAGATCAGCTGAAACATTTTAAATAGACACAAAAGGTAATCCATTTTCCTCAGTTTAGTTGAAAAATATTCAGTGACTGTCATCTTTCTTGTGATGACTGTTAATGGTAGGTGCTGCTATTGCTTTTTGTTTTCATTTTTTAAAGTACCAACCTACCTCGTTCACCTTCCATCATTTTCTTGCTTTGTGAACCCCAGAATGCAAATCACACCACAAGAGTATCATGCCTAGTCACAAAAAGCTGCAAATCACTACCTAGGACAGTCACTAAGCAGACGATCTGGAAAACACTTATGCCCCTCCCCCCTTTGCTGACTTAGAGTCATCTCACTTCAT